TGTGATATTGGCACAGAAAGAGACATATGGATCAATGGAACAGAACAGAGATCCCAGAAATAAACCCACACACCAATGGTAAACTTACCCTCCACAAAGGAGGAAATAATATACAATGGAGAAAAGACAGTCTCTTCAGCAAATGTGTTGGGAACACTGGACAGCAGCATGTAAATTAGTGAAGTTAGAACACTCCCTCACACCAGACACAAAATCACCTCAAAATGGCTTAAAGACTTAAATATAAGACAAGACAATATGAATTTCCTAGAAGAAAACGTAGGCAAAACATTATCTAACATAAACCTTAGCAATGTTCTCCTAGGGCAGTCTACCCAGGCAATAGAAATGAAAGCAAAAGATAACAAATGGGACCTAATTAAACTTACATGCTTTTGCACAGCAAAGGAAGCCATAAGTAAAACAAAATGACAACCTATGGAATGGGAGAAAATATTTGCAAATGGTGCGACTGACAGAGGTTTAATTTCCAGAATATATAAACAGCTCATAAAACTTAATAACAAAAAACCAAACAACCCAAGCCAGGAATGAGCAGAAGACCTAAACAGGCAATTCTCCAATGAAGACATACAAATGGCCAATAGATGCATGAAAAAATGCTTAGTATGGCTAAGTATCAGAGAAATGCAAATCAAAACTACAATGAGGTATCACCTCACACCAGTCAGAACGGCCATCATTCAAAAGTCTACAAATGATAAATGCCAGAGAGGGTGTGGAGAAAAGGGAACCCTCTTACACTGCTGGTGGGAATGTAGTTTGGTGCAGCCATTAAGGAACACAGTATGGAGATTCCTCAAAAAACTAAAAATAGATGTAGAATATGATCCAGCAGTCCCACTCCTGGGCATGTATCTGGAGGGAATGCTAATTCGAAAAGACATGCACCCCAATGTTCATAGTAGCACTGTTTACAATAGCCAAGACATGGAAACAACCTAAATGTCCATCAACAGATGACTGGATAAAGAAGTTGTAGTGTATTTATACAGTGGAATACTACTCAGCCATAAAAAGAATGAAATCATGCCATTTGCAGCAATATAGATGGACCTGGAGATCATCATTCTAAGTCAGGTAAGCCAGAAAGAAAGAAAAATACCATATGATATTACTCATATGTGGAATCTAAAAAGAAAAAGAAAATGACACTGTGAACTCATCTATAAAACAGAAACAGACTCGTAGACATGGTAAACTGTCTTACGATTATCAGAGGAAAGAGGGTGGGAAGAGATAAATTTGGGAGTTTTGAGATTTGCAGATGTAAACCACTATATATAAAAATAGACTTAAAAAATTTCTTCTGTATGAAAATGAATATATATATGTGCATATATACATGACTGAGACATTATGCTGTGCACCAGAAATTGGCACATTGTAACTGACTGTACTTCAATTAAAAAAAAACAAGTAGTTGTGAAAGTTCCATGAATGCAGAATTGTGTCTTTAAGAATTTGTTTTGCTATAATGAAACTATTTCCATTTTTGCTATATTATTAGCCTTCTTAGAATACTGATTTCATTGTATTTCTCCTCGGTTGAAAAATCCTCACTTACTTAGTTTATCCCTCAGGCTCCTCTTAAATTTGGTCACACCTAACTATCCAGTTTTCTTTTTTCTTCCTCAAAACAGTCCTTCTGCTTCTCGCTAGGCTGGTTTATTTTCTCTCTGCTGAATTTGCCCTAGTCATCTTAAGCTTCTTAGAATGCCTAAGCATTCTTAGCTGAGAATGACTTTGTCTTTTACCAATTAAACCTATTTTCAATCTATATTCGATCTTTAGCATAGATTTTGTCTGCCTCTTTTCCTAGGTACGGTCCAGCTTTTTGGTGGTTGGTGTTTTTATAACTTGCTGTCTGTGGTCCTGCTTTGATGCTTACGGCCTTTCTATTAGGTCCTGTCCTTCTACTTCTTTCTTTTTATCCTTTCACTGTACTCTAAGCTCTTTGGGACGGGGACTGTATCCGTATGAGAGAGATGTTATTTCTTGTGCCTAGCTCTGTATCTCCAGTACATAGAGAGGCAGGGAGGTACAGGAAAGAGAGGGCAGACAGCTGGTTTCAGATCATGGCCCTGCTCCTGACCTGCTCTGGGACATTGAGGAAGATGCTTTGCCCTGGGTACTTTATCTGTAAAATGAGGATGATAATAATGTCTGTCTTACAAGAATATTAGGAGGATTAAGTAAATTATTGTGTCAACTTATTCACTAACACATACATATGGAAAAATATTGTCCCCCAGGCTCCTTCCCCTGTAACCATAGTATGGTGCACAATTTACATTTCCTCAATGATACCTTTTTTCTTTCAGAAATCAGACCATACAGATATTCTATCCTGTAATATAAAAAGAAGACAAGAACTGAAAAGGTAAATTCTCCCTTATTCTTTATACCTTTTCACTTTTTTAGCTTACAATGATGAGACTAAAATATTTAGATTTGCAAAATCCTTTATTCTGATTTGTACTGTTTTGTATCCAGATATTTACAGCTATATCACAGATTATGATTATTTAATTTTCTTAATATTTTTATAAATTTAAGAAAAAGTTGAGTGAAATAAAGTCTACCAGAATTTTATACTATGTTAAAAAAAATCACTTTCAAATAAAATGTAAATTTTTACTTCAAGTGATCTGATTTTGACACACCCTTATAAGATACATAACTTCATTACATATAGTAATGAAATAGGTTATGAAGCTGATTTAGAAATTTTGAATAAACCATCTTTATACATTACTCATGAAGAGAATATATAGCTTACTGAATTGATACAGCTCTAAAACCATGTTAATTAAACAGGTTGTGGCTACAACTTGGAGAACTTGGGGAATAGTGGTAGGAATAATGGATTTTAGGTCTCTTTCATTTTCTGTGTTCTTTGGATAAAAATTTCAGAGAATTTAATGGGGAAGGAATTTCTTGCCGCTAATAAGGGTAAATAAGTATAAAAAGTACAATGTATGATAAAAGTTGGTAAGATTAACATTTCTCTGAATATAAGGAGCGATGAGAAAACAATTAAAATGGCATTGAATATATAGATAAAAATTCTACTTCCCAGACAAGCTCAGTTAATGTTTGCCAAAAACAGAAAATCCAATTGGCCTCTGACTCTTCTTCAGTTTTTCTTTTGAATCATCTCCTATTTTTTGTGACACATTGTATTTATATTGTTACGTGTTGAAGTATATTCTGTCACAAATTTCATGTTATATTGACTATTACTTTCTAACTTTTTCAGATTTTTTAATGCCTTTTATACTAGTTTCCATTTATTTTATTTTATTTTAAGGTCTAAAACACTGCTTGATTTTTCACCAGCTACCTTTTGCTTCAGGACACACTTTCTTGCCTTCATTTTATATCCATGTATAGGAGCGTAAATAGAGTTCTGATCTATTTACTGCACCTTTAGACTTATATCATCTTTGGGAGGAGGGAGAAATAATGTTGAATTATTTTGAGAATAGGATCTAAATCATTCTAAGAATGCAGTGAAGTTCAACTTGGTTTCAATATTTACTCAAAATCTGCTATTTGGCTTCAGCCCTTGGAATGCTGAACAGTTAAATATCTGATTCAGTGACATTTCTGCATCCCCGAACCCACATGTGATCAGTGACCATGCTGTTGGGTGGGTTAGCATCATACCTAATTAGGGTAACAATATCAGTAATGTGAACAGCACAGCATCTGGCTTTGTTGTTAACATCTAAACATTCACTCTCAGATATTGGCAGGTACTCTAGGTGTAACTTGTTGTGACCTTTTCTTTAGTCAAACAAACTATATGGCATACAAGATATCTCAGAATGGCCTTGTCATATATTTAAATAATGTGGTAGGAGCCATTATATATTTTAAAGGCTGATTGGACCAAAGGAAGCTGTAATGCGGTGTTTGGGAGACACTAGTGTCAATAGTATAGGGTTTCCAACAACCAGAGCACATGGTCCATTTGCTGTGGTGGTTTATTTATTGGAGCAGTAAACAAACTTATTTGCCGTAAGGTTGTAAGTATTTCTTTATGATATATGGCACCTCCTGAAAACGTCTCCCTATTCAACTACACTGGAAGTCCCAAAATTGATATGCAAACAGCAAAAGCTGAGATGCAGGCGGAAAATCAGAGAGAATTTTGTCATCCTGGAAGCCAGTCATATCGTACCATTACCACAATTCCAGATCCATGGTTTCAGTACATATGGATATATTTATTAGCAATTAAAAATATAAGCCAGGAAAGCAATCTTAAGTCTGCTTTTGAAAATATTCAGAAAACATTTAAGCTGTGCACTTTCAGTTTGTGGGATTTCTTACATAAAATTGCATCATAACCATTAGCCACATCATTAAGTCTTAAATCTAAGAGTTGAAAAGGAAGTAAGTTGTATCTCTGTTACTATTAGAGAGGTGGCAGTATTGCCATCATCAGGACCCATTATTTGCAGAATTAAGCAAAAAGCACTTTAGTTTTCACTGAACCTAAGTGGAAAGTAAGTGTATAATTTAGTATCCTAAGTGCGTTATTATGGCCAATGGAGTAGTCTAGCAGCTGGCAATGTTGAGCAATTGTATTTCCTGCAGTATGTCATGTTTTGGAAGTTTGGCTACTAAATTTTTTAATAATTATGATAATTAAATTTTTGAAAAGATGTCAGATTTAATCTTGTATCACAGAGTTCAATCTAGGATAGTAACATTTAGCTTCTACTGAATATTGATTTTACACTAGGTCATTTATAAAAAATAAGTTTTTGCTGCATGTCCAGCGTGTCTGAAAAGATTTCAGAACTTTAGTATTTTAAGTTGCAAATACACAGCTACATTATCACAATATAGCATTTTGCAAAACTAGTTGGTAAGAGGTAATTTTAAGATTTAATTTTGTTGTCCTATAAAAAGGTATTATAATGTTGAGTTTTTATTGATTATGACCACATGGACCATGGTGCATAGATGACTGTGAAATAGTGCAGCATAGGGCTGTTGTGAAGAACAAATAAAATAGGGATTTAAAAATACTCAGAGAACTGCAAGATCCTATTAAGATTTTTCTTTTGTTTTGTTTGTTGTTTTCCTGACTTTTCTTTAATATAATGCCAGCTTCTGTGATGTACTATTAAAATGCCAAGCAAAGTCCTATTAAAGTTTAGTTTTATTGTTACTCATTAACAGATAAATAATGATAGGGAATCTTTTTACAGAAAGAGGTAAAGTAAAGAAAATGAAACCAGGTGAAGACTCCGGTGAGTTCCTGTAGGAACTCTGAGATGTTGATAGTTTGCTCTTGCATGATCATTTGAGAGAAGTCACGTATTTGCCATCTCTTTCTCCCCTGCTGGACAGTAAGCTAATTAGGGCTAAGGATTGTGTTTGATGCGTCCTCCACTGCCTCCCAGAGCCCGGCAGGGTAACAGGCGCTTAGAAGGCACTCCAGGATTTACTGATACAAAGTAATGTATTGTGGTACATCAATTTGCCCCCTCTTTCTTTCTGACTGCAAAGTGATACCTGGTTTTATTAAGCGGGAAAATATTATCACCTCTAGGTATTGCTGCTTCTAACATTTTAGTACATTTCTTTCTGGCTTTACTACTATGCTTATTTAAATTGTTGAGACTACATTATGTATTACAGATTTGTGCCCTGCTTGTTTTCTGCTTAATATTATATCAATATGTTTTGTTATGTCATTGAAGACTTTCCATAAACATCATTTGAAATGACTATGATTGTCTGTCAGATATGATAGAGTGACTTTGTTTCGTAGTCATTCCCAAAATTTTAGCGTTTACCATGTACCTGATTTTTTTACTACTGTAAATAATTCTGAATTGAGTATCTCATTATTATTTTTTAGTCCATTTCTGATTTTTTTCACCTTGGTGTAGATTTCTAAAGTCAGAATTACCAGAAAGTCAAAGAATAAGAACATTTTTAGAATTCTTAATTATATTGTCAAATTCCTTTGTGGAATTGTTGTATCATTTTGTATTTCTTCTAGCAACATATGAGAAGGTCCATTTTACAGCCTCTTGCCAGTATTTAATGCTGTTTTTAAATCTTTACTAATTTGGTGGAAGAAAATGGTATGTTGTTGTAATTAGCAAGTCTATGCAATTAGGAAGTCAGACTTTTCCCCGCAAAATGTTGATCAGCCATTCTCTTTTTTTCTTTCATTAACTTTCCGTTTATGTCCTATTCTAGAGTCTTAGTACTTTTTGATGAGCTTTTTATTTGCTAAGGCTAATAAGCTGTCACATACATAGCAAATACCATCTCCCAGTTCTTTTAACTTTATTATTTTTTAATATGCTAAAGTTTTAAAGTACATAGTCATTTACATTTACTGTTTTCCTTTGTCATTTTTCCCACTGCTATTAAGTTTAGGAAGTTCTCTGTTAAGAAATAAGTTACATGTTCCCTTTTTCCACTGTGGTTTTTAAGGATTGAGTATGAATTATAGCAATTATGGAAATAGTAATTATTTTGCACTTGTGTTTAATCTATTTGGAATTATGTCATCTAGTATTATATAAAGCTGTAAATTTTTTTTTTTTCCAAATGGCAAACCAGTTATTCCAACACCATTTGTTGAGTAATCCCTTCCACTTCATTCTTATTGTAGCCATTTCTAACTTTTTATGAAGTTCAGGCCAGTTGTGTTATTTCCTAACTAAAATGATGCAGTGCAACATTATGTATAATCTTAAATAACTGTAATGTAACCTAGTTTTCTGTGCTGCTTTACAGACTGACTGTAGAAACTGACACTTCAAGAAAGAGGCCAAGAATCAGTTCTTCATCCCAAGGACCAGTTAAACTCCAAGAAACATCATATTCAAATGACAGTCAAATCATTTCACAGAGTCCTTCTCCAAACAGAACCAGAAAAGATATAAATAAATGTGTAGATCTTAAAGTTATTAAATTGACAAATGTTAGGAGTAAGCTGGACCATGTTAAAAACTTTAATAGTCCTAGGATTACCAAAGATGTGAAGCCTAAAGCCGAAGGCCAGCCAAGTGAAAAAAAATGGCCTAATTTACTTGCTCAGCGGGAGAAGATGAAGGAACTCAAGAAAGAAAGGCACAATAAATTTAGAGACGGTTCTGAAAAGTGTGTTTTGGAGAAATACAAGGGAATCCAATTTTCTCAGGATTATAATTCCAACAAGATAATTAAGGAACCCCTTGAATCCAGAAGAAGGAAGATCAGTTTCAAAATCCCAGTGAAATCCCACAATACCCTTCAGAAGCTTGTAGAAGAAAATGTCTTCAGTCTAGATTCTAACAAGTCAAAGGCGAAGCAAGAGAACACAGGATGCCGAGAAGGCGCCCAGGTTTCATTGAATTTGACAAGGCACAAAAGTGAACATTTATTTTCAGATCCCTCATATGCAGAGACTGTCCGTGAGTGGAAAGGAAAATATCCTGAGCATCGGGAAAGTGATGGTTCGATTTCTAGCGAAAGCCTAATGCAGGTAAGGTAGTGCAAAATGAAGCATGTGGGTTTTAGTAAAGAGTTTTAATATAGTTAGGTTTTGAGTTGCTTTTGTTATAATGATCATGGAGGGCTGATTCAGTTTAGTCGGGAAGATATGTCTTGGTTCTTTTATTTTACCCCTTTAATTCCGACTTTTTTAGGGAGCTATCCTAGCAAGTATCAAGGATCCAAAATAGAAGGGAAAATCTAACAATGTAGAAAGAAGCAGTTATAGACAGTCCCGTCAGAGAAGCACTGTGGCAGTCTTAGAATCGTCTCCAATTCCAGGTACCATAGAATGTCCAGGGGTTAATCTTCCGAACAGCTATTCCTTCAACAAATTATTTTTTGAGCGCTCTGTGTGCCAGGCACTATAATCACAGTCTCTGTTTTCAGGGACTGACTTATATGAGGAGGACACACAAGCAACCACAGTAAGTCTGATAAATGCTTATCACCTAACACGGGAATACACAGCAGGGGATTAACATGGCCTCGGTGCACCATCAAGGGACTAGCTCGGAAAGGTTTCCTGGAGGTGATAACATGTAAACTGAGAACTAAAGACTGAATAGGAGTTATTCAGGTGAAGACAAGGTCAGGTGGGGTGGGAAACGCAGGGAGCTACATGTATAGAAATCCAGTCTAGAAAGCTTGGCACATCTGTTTTGCTTCTAAATTATGTAATAAATCAGCATTTGTGGACTAATTTGAGAACCTGATCACTATAGCCTTGTTTCTATGGCAAATAAAATTATTTACCTTTAAGAGAACTTTGGAACTTCAGAACTTTAGAACTTCATAAGTTCTGAAATTTAGAGACTGCTTGTAATCAGTGGTGGTTGAGCGTACCTGCTTTCAGGAATCAGGACTACAGGGTGCAGTATATGATTCTTCCTTTGGAAAATGGAGGGATTGTAACTAGGGGGTTGTAACTCAGAAGAGCTTGAGAGAGGGTACTCTTTGTTTGCTGAACTTGAAGGGGTCCAAGGAGGGAAAGAATTGAGTTTGTTCTTTTTATTGCTTTCTTAAAGGAAAGCTCCAGTTTTCTTGTGCTGTAGAGTCAGTTCCCTAGAGTGGAATGCAAGAAAGGAATCTGAATTTTCCAGTATGTTCAGTGAACATCTTTGTGTCATTACTTGGTGTTCCTCTTGTGCTGTGCATCTAAGGCACAGCATGAGAAATCCCTGCACTGCAGTGTACAGTGTCTTTTGCACACTGTTCAGAATTACTACACAGACCAGAAGAGGTACATAGCATGAATATTAAGTTTTAGGGGAAGCAATTGTTGCGTGATTACAGGAGCTAGTCATCTTAATATTGCTTTTTTTCCTCATAAATTTCTCAATAGATAATTATCTTCCTGAAATAAGAGTGTACTTTACAAAGAAACGGTTGTATTTTCTGGATTTAGTAATCCTTTTACTCTTTCCTAAGAGAAAATGATGTCTTAGGTTTTATAGTCCTTTGATATAGACCCCCTTAATTTGCACCCTCCCCTCAACATTGACAACTAATGTCCTAGAGATTTATAGTTTATAGGCCACTTTGATAAATAGTATCCCACTTAATTCTTACAAGTTTCAGGGGTAGAAATTTACCAGTTTAGGAAGCATTAACTAAAGGTACCTATTATGTATCAGTATGTTTCTAGGTTCTAGGGATTTAGAAATGAATAAAATGCTTTTTACCCTCAAGAAATTCCAGGAGGTAGATTAGGAAACAAATACAATTGCAAATACAGTGAAGTAAATATTAGAGCCCTAGGAATTGGGATGATGTTGGTATAAATTTGGAGGTGCGTTAAGGAAGTTCTCACTAAGGTGGAGATTCTTAAGCTTGGTGTTGAAAATGTGCGGAGCAAGGAATAGAAATGTTATTTTGCCAGGGGAGAGGACCAGTGTGTATAGTGGCCCAGAGTTGGGAAATTGCCTGGCAGTAGCATACTTGGGCACTTAAGTTGTTCAGTTTGACTTCAGTTGAGATGTGTAAAGAATCTCCAGGAGAGGAAGTTGGAGAGGAAGCCAGGATCTAGACAATGGATTACTTTATCTCTCACGGAAAAGATTGTCTTTTTTTTTTTTTTTTTAATCTTGTATGCTGTAGATAGTACAGAGCCACTGAAACATAATCAGGGAAGCAGTACGGTCAGGCTTTTAGTTTGGAATCACTCCAGCAGATAAAACCATTATTACCCTCGTAATTGTTTTCCCCTTCATCTCAATCCCTGTATTTAACAAAGCATGGCAGGGAAAGGCAAACAGTTAAATGCCCATTGAAGACTTTATTTTTTCAGTAAGGGAAGGGTTTTCAGGGAAAACCTGACATGAATGTTTCTGAATTTGCAGGTAACAGAAAATTTGTTGAAATCACTAAAAGTGATCTGTGGGAAAGAGAGTGAAGGGTAGTATTGTTCTAGGTAAAAGAATGAAAAGACTTTGGATGTCAGGCATTGCAGGAAGTTCTGTAACAATCTCTAGCTTGCTTGGCACTCCTTAGTTGAAGAGAACCTAAAGATCTAGTGAGATTTAAAGTCAGGTGGAGAAGGGATTATAAAGTCCAGTTTCATGAAATAGTCAAGTTGTAATGGGTCCATGTGGTGATGTATGTAGTGTTATATCACGTGAAGAGTGATGTTGAGAAGTGGAAGCTGAATTCCCAATAAAGCAACGTACAATACACTTGTTTAAAGAGGGTCTGTGATTTACATTCAGCCTCCTGTGAAATAATGTGAGTTTGATGTTACCTTGGAGAATTCTTAGAATATGATTTGGTTTAATAGTGGCTTTTGCTGCGTTTCCTGTCACCTGTATGTAGTTTCATCCACTCAGCTTAAGTAGTGTGAAAAGTTCAAGTTAGGTTTTCAATCTCTGCTGGAAGACAAAAAATAAAACAGAGACCTCTGGTGCTCTACCCATAAATGGTACCGTTACACATTTTTTCAGCCTTTTCCCCTCAACCAGGTAATAATCTTCAAGTTCTGTTTGTAGTTTTGTCATGTCACTTTTAGAAATGGCTCAGTTACTCTGGGATGAAAATTGTCCACCACTGAAAGCCAGTTCTTTTTACCTTTGCAATGGTTGTTTCTATTTCTTAGGGTGACATGTTAGGAATGTATATATGAATGAGTAGACCCTAAAGAATTTCTACCATGTTTCATGACTTAATACAATGAAGCTCTTCTATTCTAGGGTAAATTTTTCATCTAGGGGCAATGTTGCCTCTTAGGGGGCATTTGGTAACTAACTTGATGCAGGCATTTTTGATTGTCAAGGTTTGGAAGGGGTAGATATCTAATGAGCAGAGGCCAAAGATACTTCTAAACATCCTCAACACATAGAACAGCTCGCCCTCAAAAAGAATTATCTGATCCCACATGCCAGTAATACCAAGGTTGAAAAACCCTTACTCTTGGTATATGCTTCATTCTTAACTAATGAAATTACTTTTCATTTCAGAGTTTTGAAGCACCGTGTTCTTCAGTGTCACTTGAAAGTATTCAAGAAACAGATCAAGAGGTTACTGATATTTTTATTTACTTTGAATATTTTTAGTGAAATTAAGTCAAACGGTTTCTATTTTAATAAAAAATAGTGACTATAAAAACCTTGGTACAATGAAAATAACAGCGGTGTGTCTGCTTAATATGTGAATTTTTATGAAGTCATGAAAAACCATTTGGAAAAGGATTTACATTTACTTCGTCACCTTTCTTGCCTTTCTTTCTAATGAGCTCTGATCTGTTTTGAATAAAGAGCATGGAGCCTGTGGCCCTCAAGTTATGTGAATTTTGATTTAAAGTTACACTTCGCATGCTTATACCTTGGCTTGCCAAAAATGCAGTATGATATCAACATGTGTCTGCCTCATTTTTCTAATTAACAGTAAGGTGAAAATGTTCAGCGAAAATGAGAGCACGTGCATATTTACTTTTTACCTGTTGCCTTATTTCTCAGTTAGAATCTCCTGATTGACCCTCAGATTTATTGCGTAGAATTTTATGTTCCCTGGTCCTAAATGAAAATTAGGTTCTTAGAACACTTTGTGTTTTTCTATTTAAAGGAGACTTTAAAACCATATTGATTGCTTTTTATTTGTGACAGTCAATAATATTTTTCTGTTTTGTGGGTCAGTGCCTCTTGGCAAAAGAAGAAAGATTTCTCACCTCTAAAGTTAGATTATATTTTAATTTCTTTGCATCAGAATACATCAGGGAACTACTTACTTCCCTGAAGTGAGGAGGGTATTAAGATCTAGAGTTCAGTTTTTGATTATTCATAAACAGTCTTAGAAATCTCAAGCAGAGTGCCATCACCCAGATAAAAACATATTTGGCTCCCAAAGTACTTTGAAGTGAGAATGGGAATGAGAATTGATTTATTTTTAAAGTCCATTATATGCTAGGCTCTATATGAGGGTCTTCACATTATTTCATTTAGTTATCACTAAAATACTAAAAGGAAATAGAATTAAACATTCCTATTATGTAGATAAACTGAGACTCAAGGTTATTAAACAATTTGCTTATCTAAGGTGGTTGAATGAGTAAAGTGGTAAGAGAAGAGCTATTAAAAACCCTGTGTATGTTTGTAAATCTTTATTCTTTTACTATGCAGCTTCCATATTTTTGTAAATTTTTTGCTTTCCACAAACTGTCTCTCATCTTCAGTGAATTAAGAATTAATTGCTTTCTTCTCTTATTAATCTGCAGAGAAAATCATTCAAAATATTTTAACCGCAGGTCTTTTGTGATTTAGATGCAGATAGTAGAAGAGCTCCATGCTGCACGAGTGGGAAGAAGTGTGGATTTACCTGTGCTCCCGCCTCCTGGAGAGTTAATGAGTATGGAGATTGACTTGGTGGAAGATGATGCGCAGCCCTCTGCTGGTATACCCTCTATGCATATGATCATGCTTATGATCTCCTATATTTTTTTAAGAATGAACGTGCCAGCATTCAGTTTTTATAATATTTAGATAAAAAGTATTAACGTGCTCATTTGAAATAATAAAGTATGGTATATTTCTTTTAGCTAGAGGGATCAGGTCAAAGATCTTTCTTACTGTCATTTGTTTTATATAATCTCAGCATTATTAGGCAGTTAGACGTATTTTCTCTTTCTCTTTTTGCCAGGGGGAAGTAGTCAGAGTTATGAGTTGTCTTTTATTCTTGCTCTTAATCATAACTTTTAACACTTTCAACTGTGTAAAGCCCTGATCAGAAATAATGCAAATTGCTCATGGATTTCTTACTTACATAGTAAAATTGTGATTAGTCTTACCAATTGGAGAAGATAATGATAGATGTTACCCAAAATCTGTCAGTGTACTGTTTTGAATTGTATTTGTAAAAATAGTAATGCTACATTACATTCACATTGCATTTTTCAGTTTATTTAGAGTTTTCCTGTACATTAACTTATCTGACCCTTGCAGGACTCTATGAAATTAACAATGCTAGTATTATCTGTTTTCTTTCTTTTACATGTATTTATCTGTTCAGTTGTATTTCAGAGTATATTAAAATTAGTTAGCATTCCTAAGTACATAACTACCAGTGATGCAGCGCAACATAGACACTGCTGGTGTGCAGTTTACGATTTAAAATCCACCCATAAGCAATATACAATATTTTACTGGTGGTTAATTAAACACTGATTACCGTTCTTTCTCTTAAGAATTAGGGTAAATGCATTTTTTATTTTTGTCGTCTAAATCTTTAGAGATTGCCTTCTCTGAAGAATGCTATCAAAGTTCTATGATATCAAAATTTTAGTTACTAAACAAGTCTGTTATCAAATGTCATGAAGTCCTCACTTTGCTCTTCTTCTCTAGCAAATACTGCTTCAGACAAAAAGCTTCTAATTGTTATTGATACAAATATTCTGATGAATCACCTCAAATTTGTTAGAATGTTGAAGACAACAGAAATCCCAGGTATTTATAAAATATTTATTGATTTTGATTTTCTTATTTGAGTTGATATTTTATATGAACAGTGATGTGGGTTTTTTCCCCCCTACAAACTTATTTCCATTTGGACATGCTATTTTTTTTTAATTAAGGAAGATTTTTATTAGTGAAGTAACAAAAATAGTGAATATACACATATATATATGTGTATACACACACACACACACATATACACACACAAAGTATAATCACTTTAAGAAAAAAACAAAAAAGCCTTTACAGGTTAACCTAGCAATCTAAACTTAGTCTTCTTTGATCTCTGATAGCATTTATTTTTGTAACGTTCTCTTGACACATCTGTTTTTTGTCCCTATTTTTCTGTGTTACCTCTTCCTTTAGATTGTGAATTTCATACTTTAAAACTTTCAATTCTCTTACAGCAGTTTGATTTAGTAGCTCAATAAATATTTGTTGACTCCTAAGAAATCTTTTTTTATGTTTTAGGCTTTGACAGACTTGTGTTAATAATTCCCTGGGTTGTTGTGCAAGAGCTGGATCGTATGAAAGCAGGAAAATTACTGAAACATGCCCAGCACAAAGCTGTACCTGCAGTTCATTTCATCAACGACAGTCTCAAAAATCAAGATAGAAAGCTATGGGGTCAGTCAATACAACTTGCATCTCAAAAACTTTGTAAGTATTATTCTCTCAGGTTGCTTCCTAATTGAGATTTGTTTGGATACTGATTCACTCTTGAAAGGAAACGGTGCAAAACTTAAAAAAAATTGTAACTATTGCACTGTGAAATGGCAGGACATAGTGGTGCTTTGAGGTGTTATGTTAGGCTTGGTTTGGAGGTCTTTGATTTTTATTTTTCTGCTTCTTCTAGACCTTCTTAGGTCATGTCTCTATTTCACAGATGGTGACTAGATAGATCTGTATGCATAGTTGTCTGTATTACAGTACTTTGGATTCTTTTTTTAAAATTTTTTATGGAGGTACTGGGGATTGAATCCAGGACCTCATGCACGCGAAGAGTGAACTCTACCACTGAGCTATACTCTCCCCTGTTGAAATACCATTTTGAGTGATGAGGCCAGTAAGTGACCTAGGTGTGTGCAGTTAGTATAATGAAGAGGCAGACATTGTTTTCCTCTGGTTTGTCAGAACCTGAAATAAGGAGGTAATTAAAAAATAAAGCTCTATAGATTTTCTCCTGATTTTATTTTTTTCCATATTTTTTTTACCTCATTTTAAAATTAGCCTTAGAACCTTAGAATGTATATTCTTCATGTTTTATATATCTATTTGGAAAAAATCTGTGTGTAAAGCAACACTGTTGTCTCTGCAGAGTTTATACATCTATTTAGAAGGTTTATTTCATTCTTTAAAAATTTGTTTTTTCCTAACTCAGAATTATTTATATATGTAGATTTATATTGTTTTAAATATCATGGATTTATTTTGCCTACTATAACCACAGTCACCATAAGAGATGAAAGAATTCATCCTAAGGTGAATATAATCATGATATTAACTCTAAAGAAGCTTTTGGCATGGCTGTTTAGTCTTAGAAAAAGGGCCTATACCATTAATTCCTTCATTCATTCCCTTTACAAATATTTATTAATTAGCTTTTAGTGTATTCCAGATACAATGCTTGTGCATTTTGAGTAGGAACTTCTTGTGCTATGTTTAAGAGTTTTTAAAGGAAAACCACCAAAAAAAAATCACTTATTCAAGTTAAGAAGATACTAAAATATTTTAACATATTAAGTTGAACACCTTAGATGGTCTTTTTTTTTACTTTCCATTAAAAGAGTTTTCAAATATAGAAGTAGAGAGAATAATATAATGAATCCTTGTGTATCTGTCACTCATTTTCAGAGATTCTCAACATTTTGTCATTCTTGTTTATTCTCTTACTTCCTTTTCCCCTTCTCCTCCAACTCCTGGAACTCCTGCAGTAAAGTAAATCTCAGATATTATATTATATTATTTTCCCCTGTAAGTACTTTGGTATGTGTTGCCAACAGACAAGACTTAAAAAAACACATACACACACTTTAAAAAAGCCCGGATCCAAACCATCATTTCAGTAAAGCCTCAGTCCTTAAGTTCCTTAAGAAGAGGTGGGAATTTTACTTGCTCTTTTATTTTTTTTTCAGTTATACAAATTATGTTTTATTTTATAATTGTTTAGATGATGATAATAATAGACAACACTTATATGGCCATTATTCTCCAGACCCTTTTCCAAGTGCTTTACAGCTAATACCTTATAGTGCTTGTGGAAGAGATTCTTATTAGATCCATTTTATTGATGAGGAAATTGAGACACAGAGGGGTGAGGACTTGTCCTAGTCCTTCAATAGATTAACTTTGAGACTTATGTTAATTCTGGAGTAGATATTTTGGCCATGTTTGTTATTTATAGATGCTCTCTTTCTTTTGACTTTTCCATTTTTATGTGATTTTTGGTGCTTTGACTTCTTCAATCTCTGCTTTTTGGATTATTAAGGAGGGTAAGTCATAGTAGTGGTCTCACACTTTGTGGTGCTTCAATTTCTGGGTCTTCCTTGAAATCCATATTTCATTTTGATGCTTGAATTGTACTACGTGATCTTAGTTTTGTTAAACTGTGCTTTTAGTTAAGGTTGTAGATATAATAATAGATTACTTGTGTGATTGTCTGTGTCAGATAAGTCCTTTATGTATTTCACTGTATCATTGCTGTCTGTCAAGCTGATTATTTAAAACATTCTTTGTATAAAACCAATGTATCTAATACATTTATTTTGTTGATCGTGATTTTATGATATCATTTAGAAATTTTTTGTGATTTTAACATAATTAAATTACATTTTATATTCTAATGATAAATTGAAATTCTTATGAAGAAACTTAATTGAGGATTATTGAGTGAAATTAAAGTACTTGTTTGGAGAAAGGCAAGAATAAAACAGTCTTTTATTACACTTTACATCTGTCAAGCACACTTGCTGCCAAATCTAATAACTGCTTATTTTGCATGTACTATTTTCTTTTATAATCATTGAGTATTATAATAATCTATTTTTTCACATAAGCGTTTTTCCATTAAAAAAAAAAGCCACAAATTGAATGCAGATAGTTTATGTTAAATAACCTTAGTTGACTGTAATTTTAGCCTTGCCCTTACTCTTTTCAAAATTGTATTTATTTGATCAAGTATGTATTATGAAGAGAATAGGATTTGAAATCTGATTGACCTGAGTTTATAAGCTACTTGGGGAAAGGTAAAAGTGAGGAAACTTAGTAAATGAAATGGGAGGAAATAACCTGTAGCTGAAAAAACGGTTGTGAATGTTGGTTGAGCTAATATATTAAATACTTAATGGCTGATGGTCTCGAATAGGTGATAATTCGTTTGTGTCGAATTGGTTAGAAAGACTAAAAAATCTCTTTCCCCTAAATGGACAAAGATTGTTAATAGGTAATTCACAAAGGAAGAAATAAAACCAGTCAGCCGTTTGTTCACTGCAAATATTTTCCTGTCTGTTTGCCATTTTTAATAATGTTAATTTCTTATGTATAAAAGAAATTATAAATTTTAGTTTATATCTTTCACTTTTTCCTTTGTTATTTCTTTTTATTGCTTCTAAAGTTAGAAAGTTACTCCTTCCCAACCCCTGATAGGAGACCTTGCAGTGCTCAGAGCTATGGGGACAGGAAATAGTAGCTTTTCAAGAGAGCAGTTTATCAGTGTACATCAAGAAGCCTAAAGAGATGATTCTCTTTCTAGAAATTATTCTAAAAAAGATCAGAGATGCTCACCATGATTTACGTAAATAACATTCATCATAGCATGATTTATATAGCAAAAAACTGGGAACAACTTGACTGTCTTACAGTTGGAGACGTTAGATGCAATGCTATATCCATATGAGACAATACTATATTTTGAAAAATGTCAATTGCCTGTGATATTAAATGAAATAAGTTTAAAAAGAATATAAAGTGTACCAAATATCTTAGATTATGCATATGTACTTATAGATGGTGAATACTGGTTATATTAAGCTGATGAAATTATGAGTTATTTTAATTTTCTTTATATTTTCTGAATTTTCCAGGTTTTCTATCATTTTTTATTTTTATATTTAGGCAAAAATAAAGTTATCTGACACCGCCCACACCAGACATTTGTTCCATCATTTTGGATTTTCTTTTATTATATTTTTGTTGAATCATTTATTTGCCAGATATTTCTACCAGACACCGTTCTAAAGTGTTGAGGCTGCAGCAGTGACAAAGCCTGCTGTTGAGAAGCTTTAATTCCATTAAATGTTAAAAATCATATTAACTATAATTTATACAGAATTTATTTTGGTGTCAAATGTGAGTAAAATTCATTGCTGTTGAGGTGCCATTTAAGCTGAGTCTTAAATAATAAATACATACTACTTAAGAAGCATTTGGTATAACCATATATTGGACCAAGTGTTTCATGTAAATTTTCTCATTTAATCATCCTGGTTAAGCAGTTTGCCCATTATTACATCTCTAGTAAGTGGGAAAGTAGGGATTCAAACCCAGATCAGTCTGTTTCTGGAGTCTTTGTTTTGTTCACTTTTGAACAATACCTGAGCAAGTGCTCAAAAATATTTGCTGAAAAAATATTTCATGAGTATTTTTGTAGTTTTAGGTGTGTCTTCCAAGCCCATGTTCCATAGAAAAGGTGACAGAACAGTTAATCTTGAACTTTGATATATTTAGAGCAGTGTACTATACCCTTTAAACATTCTTTTGTTGGTCAAATAGAGTTGCTAAATTTAACTAGTGATTTCGAGCTGCCCATTTTGCATTATTATGGTATTTACTCTGTGAGCTGGAAGAAGGAGAATTGTGCTGTAATATGTGTCTGTCTGGCTCACTGGTTATCTGATTAAAGAACTGGATAGGATTGTACTGTGAGGTCAGTTGAGTTCTGTCTGGACTTCCCCATGAAATTGTGAGCCCCTAAAGAGCATGCCTTTGTCCAGTTACCTAGCACAGGGACTTGGCACAGACAGACCCTATATAATATTTATTGCATGAGTGAATTAGTTTTCTAATTTCAAAATTCAGAGATCTAAGTAATTTAGGCTAAAAGTTGAAGGAAAAACAGTTTATAATCTGGGAACAAAGTTGAGGCTTACTACTAGCCAGTACATGTTGAATTTTAGTGTGTAAGAGACTCACCGTAGACTTAAATCAGTCCTTGGGTCCAGGCTGCAAAGATTCTATCCAGAAGTGGGTCTGGGGTGTAGTCCTGCCATCTATATTATGAATATCTACCCTGGGAGGTTCTGAGGCAGGTAATGTAAGGACTTATGAGAAAGTCTTTGGTTGTATTTCTATACATTACATTATTTTCACAAAAAGCAAACTTTTACTATGTACGTTAAGGCTTGGAGAATGCCAGAGGACATGCGGCCACTGATTAACATTTGTTAGAAATTACGTTTTGTATTCTCTGCCTAGGGCCCATATTGCCTTCTCCTGTACATCTCTCTCTAAATGCACTTGCTTAGAGGTTAAGAAAAAGCAGACACATGAAAGCGGTTCTGGTGTTGGCAGAGCAGTAGCTCGTTATTTTACAGCCCTCTTTTAAGTTGAGATCATTTTAAGCATGGTGTACATAGTGTAATCATATAATTTACTTATAATCTCTGAATGACTAAACTGAGACTAGAATTCATAGCTTTTAGTTTCTCACTTGGCATTTAACCTATTAATGACATTTCTTTCCTTTGGGTTTATTAATAGGCATGTGCTATTTCATTGTAGTAGTAAACTAATCACTTTATTTAAAAAATTTACAATTATATGCTACCTGAATTCTAGATCCAGAATTTTCAAGGCATTGTTTTTGCTTTGTCTTCTCTTACTTTTTATTTAAAAAGTTATCTTTCTTTTGGATGCTTTGATATGTAAATATGGCCTAGATTATTCATACAGTTCCTAGATTTTTAGTGTGTTTATTGATTGTTACTTTTGCTAAATTTGCAGATGGATTGAGTGATGAGAACAATGACGATCGTGTATTAAAGTGCTGTCTTCAGTACCAGGAATTATTCCCTTGTTCTCTTGTTATTTTGTGCACGTGAGTTTCATGGTCATTTACTCTTTCTTTAAAAAAACAGCAACTTACTCTCTATTTAGTCCTCTGTAGAGCATTAAGCCTTTCATCCCTGTGTGTGCCTCAAACAGATTAGAGCATAGGATAAAAGTTTGGGGAAATCTTATTAATCTGCTAAAGTGTTGTAACATCTGGGCAATTTATAATAAATTAAGAGGTCATTTGAGAACTAAAAAATAAAAAATAGCAACTTATACCAAAGAATTTTTAAAAATCATACTGTATCTGTCATGCCAAGAATCAGAAACATAGAATTTTCTAAATCTGCCAGTAAGCATATTCATTTATATCTCCCATTCTTATAATGTGCAGGCTATAGAAGAATGAGATTTGAATCTCATGAAGTTTCATTTCAATTTAACGTATATGCTATTCAGAAAACTTTTGGAAAAGCAGAGAAAAGTCAATTTAATAGCCCAATAAAATAGTTTAGAAATAAAAATCTGACACGAGGCAAAAGGGTTAATGGATTAATTAATCAAGGAATTAATTTGTGGGGAAGGGCTAGTTTATGATGCAGTTATGTCCTGGTTACCTGTTAGAGAGTTAGAATTGGAATTCTTGATCTACCACTTACCAGCTTTGTGACCTTGGAAAGTTACTTAACTTAGTTACCTCATGTATGAAAATACAAGGAGAGTGATAATACCTGCTTTATAAGGTTATTGTGAGTATTTAGTCAGAAAAAAATATATGTGTGTATACGTGGCTTAGAAGAATGTGCAGTACATAAAATGATCTCAGTAAGTAATTTTCCTCCTTCCATTACTCCATTCCCCCATTCCCAACAACTATTTTCATGACTTAATTCTAAGGTAAAAGTAACATAATGTTTAACAAAATTGTATTCATCATGTATGAGATAAGAGCAATTTTAATTTGCAGTTTTAATCTGAATTTTATTCACTGCAAAATGGAGTTTTTACAGTTCCATAGTCATGCCTGAGTTCTCTGTGAAATGGAGTGATTATACAAATGAACAGCCCTAAGGTTTTTCTTGTAAGGGGGCTTGGTCAGTTATCATCTTAGCTGTGTTCAAAGATAGTATTATTCTTTTTGGTATTAAAGGAAATATTAGAGTGTTTTATCTCTAATACTAAATTTTTAAAATCTAGTACATAATATATCATCTTGGAGTTTGTTGAAGACTGACATAGAATTAGTAATATGTTAATCATTTTGAATTTGAGATAACCTAAAATTGAGAGATAATTGTTATATAATTTTTTTAAGTTCAACTTAAAATGAAAATTAAATTGGTGCGATGTTATCAATTCTCCATTATTCCTGCAGTCACTGGTTTTGAATTAAGATGTAACATTTTTTAGTGAAATGAAAATTTGTAGTCAAACTTTACTTTTAATTCTGGCATTATCATGTTCCAGGTGAGCCTATTTTTTATTTTTATTTTTTCCCTTAGAAGGTGATAATCATACCTACTGTACTAAGTTACACCTACTTACTGTGCAGATACGTTTACATTACTTCAATAGATGATGATGATGATGACAGTGACAGGAGAACCCTTCTATAACTATATATAACTATATACTATATCTCATTCTAAGTGCTTTACTAAGAGTTACAGTTGTAAGTATGGGCCAGTAACCCCCAGTTAATATCTCCAGTCCATATCTCTCTCTAAATTCTAGTATATTCACCTATACTTATTCAATATCTCTACTTGGATATCTCATAGACATCTGGAACCTACCATCTCCAAAAATGAACTCCTGATCTTTCCTTCTAAACTATTCTCCATTTGAATAAAAAGTGCCACTTTCCACCCATTTGCTGAAGCCGGAAACTTTGGGGTCCTTTTTGATTCCTGCCTTTCCCTCATTGTCTACACCCAGTCAGATAGCAGGTCCTGTATAGACCTCTTCTTTTCTTTATAGCCCCTGCTCCTATCCTATGTCAAATGATGTTATTTTTCCTTTTTCCTTCTTTTTCTACTCTAAGAGTTATTATGCTCTCTACTGCTACACTTTCTCTTTCATTTATTTTTTAAAAAGTAACAATGATATTTTTAATTTTTAAAAAATTTTGTTATGAGGAATTTCAACATTTAAAGTGAAGAAGAGTTAGTAAACTCCTCAGTACCCAGCTACAACAATTACCAAAATTCTTCCACTCTTCTGTTATCTATATTTCCATCTACTTCCTGTCCCCCATATGATTATTTTTATACAGTTCTTTATATTTTGAGAGAAAATGTATAATATTGAAATGCCCAAATCTTAACTATACAGTGTTGACAGTGGATGCACTGGCGCAGCCTACATCCCTCTTGATACATAGAACACTTTCATTACCCTACAAAATACTCTTATGCCCCTTTTGTGCTCTTTTTCTGGCTTCTTAGAGTGGAAGCTTAGATCATTAATTAGAGACTGCTATAAATTTCCCTTTAAGCACTGCTTTAGTTGCATTCTACAGATTTTGATACATTGTATTTGTATGTTCATTCAATTCAGTATACTTTATAATTTCCTTTATGACTTCCTTATTAACCCATAGGTTATTTAGATATTTGTTGCAATTAATTCTAAATATTTACAGATTTTCCAGTTATCTTTTTATTGATTTATATTTTATTTCTATTAATGCTTGAGAACATAATTTATATGATTTCTATTTTTTTTAAATGTGTTAAATTTTGCTTTATGGCCAAGAATAAGGTCTACCTTGGTAAATGTTTTTATGTGCACTTGAAGAAGAATGTATATTCAGCTCTTGTGGGTAGAGTATCCTATAAATTTCAAATAGGTCAAGTTTGTTGATAGTGTTGTTCAGGTCTTCTATAATCTTACTGATTATTTGTTTACTTATTCTGTGATTACTGAGATGGGAGTATTGAAATTCCCAACTGTATAATTGTGGGTTTATTTCTCCTTTCAGTTCTGTTTTACTTCACGTATTATGAAGCACTGTAGTCAGAGGCATACACATTAGGATCGTCTTCGAGAATTGACACCTTTCTCATTATTTAATGTCTTTCTTTGTTCCTGATAATATTCCTGGTTCTGAAGTTCCCTTTGTTTAGTATTAATATTACTACTCTGGTTTTGTTTGATTAGTATTTATATTATATATCTTTTTAATCTATTTACTTTTAACCTATCTATGCCTTTATATTTAAGTATTTAGTGGATGGCATATAGTTGGTATTTTATTTTTCATCCAATCTGACAATTTCTGGTTTTTTAATTGATGAGTTTGTACGATTCACATTTAATTGCTTGGGTCAAGATCTACCATTTTGCTAATTATTTTCTATTTGCTCAGCTATTCTTTTCTTCCTTTTTCTTTCTTTCCTTGGATTAATTGTGTGTTTTTATGGTGCCGTTTTATCTCAATTATTGACTTTATACATTTTTGGAAAAACTTTTTAATGGTTGCCTTAATGTTTACAGTATACATCTTTACTTGTTCAAAGTCTACTCTCAGATAATACTACCTTGCTTCATGTGTAGTGTAAGGATTTTAGTATGCTTTGAATTTCTCCTCCCATCCTTTTTGCTATTATTGTCATATGTTTTACAGAAGCAATAAGCACAGAATACTTAGCTAAATTTTTTGCTTCAACCATTTACCACTTAAAGCAATTGGAAATAAAAAATAAGAATATTTTAATCTTGCATTCCATTTTTAACATATTTCATTTCTTTTTATAGATCTAAGTTTCTGTCTGGTGTCAGATTTCTAGTCATATTCCTTCTGCCTAAACAGCTTTCTTTGACATGTGTAAGTCTGTTGACATTGAATTTTCTGGTTTTGTTTGTCTGATAATGTCTGTCTGTCTGTCTTTCTTTCTTTCTTTCTTTCTTTCTTTCTTTCTTTCTTTCTTTCTTTCTTTCTTTTTTTTTTGAAAGATATTTTTGCTGGATATACAATTCTGGGTTGACTTTTTCTTCTGGTATTTTAAAGCTGTCATTCCATTTTCCTCTAGCTTGTTTGATTTCTGATAAGAAATCTGCTGTAAGTGCTATCCTTTCCCTCTGTATGTAATGTGTCTTTTTTCCCTCTCATTGCTCTTAGTTTCTGTTTGTGTTTTGCTTTGTTGGCAGTTTGTGTTAGCCGTCTTTAGCAGATATGCCCAGGTGTTTGTGGTAGAGGGGAAATTATCCTGCTTGTTGTTCTCTGAGTGTCTTGATTCTATGGTTTGATGTTTATTTTAGTTTTGGAAAGTTCTCAGCCATTATTTCTTTAAATATTTCTTATGCCCCATTCCCTCTTTTCTCCTTCTGGTATTGCAGAATTATATTGCAGTAGTCAGCCTCCAAGATGACCCCAATAATTGCTGCCTCTTTGTATTAATGTCCTTGTGTAATCCCCTCCTACATTGTACCAGGCTTCCTTGTCTTTGTGACAAATAGCATGCATCAGAAGTGATGATATGTCCCTTCTGAGATTAGGTTATATAAGACTGGGACTTCCTTCTTGGGCACTCCCTTGCTACTTCCTCTCTCTTGGATCACGTGTTCTGGGGAAGCAAACTCCATGCTGTGAGCATCCTTACGTAGAGGCCCACATGGTGAGAAACTGAAGTCGCTAGCCAAGAACCAGTGAAAGGCTAAGCCCTGCAAGGAGCCGCATCAATGAGTACCAATTAAACTTCGAGATGACTGCAACCCTAAGCAACAGCATGCTTCAAGTTAGTGAGAAACCTTGAGCCAGAACCATTCAGTCAAGCTGCTGTCAGGTTCCTGACTTATCAACTGTGTGAGATAGTAAATGTTTGTTTTAAGCTGCTAAGTTTTGGGGACACATTTTTACACAGCAATAGATAACTAATACATGCACATACTTTGGCTCATTTGATATTGTCTCACAGCTGTAATATATTTTTTTAACCTTTTATTCTCTTTCTGTTTCAGTTTGGATAATTTCTTTTGAACTGTCTTAATATTTGTTTCTTTCCTCTCCAGTGTTCAGTCTCCTGAGGACCCTGTTGAAGGCATTCTCCATTTCTGTCACTATAGATTTTTTATTGTTAGCACTTCGATTTGATTTCTGTGATTTTCCTCTATGCTGAAACTGCCCATCTGGTTTTGCATGCTATTTACTTTTTCCATTAGAGCCTTTAGCTTATTAATCAAAATTATTTACAATTTCCTATCAGATAGCTTTAATCTATGTCATATCTGAGTCTAGTTCTGTTGGTTGCTTTGTCTCTTGGCAGTATGTTGATTTTTGGAGCATAATTTATAAGCAGACTTTAGGACTCACTTTCTCTGTAGTTTCCTCCCTTCTTCAGTTTCTCCCTTAACTTTCTATATGCTCTGGCCAGCCCTGAATGTTGCCTTCTGACATTTCAAACCACAAAGTCTGTGGATTTCTGTTGTAAGGCATTGATAAATTGGGGAATGCCCTCGGGCAAAAAGAAACTTGTACCTCTTACCAGTGCAGTGTCTGTGTCTTGAATGTAGACTTCCCTCCACCTTCTACCTACATTTTATTGTTCTCTAGTGCCTTCCAACAGGTTTGTTTTTTTTGGTTGGGGGGTGTCCAGATTTTCTAATTCTCATTATGGGAGAGTTAGTCAGACCAGGATACTCTGTCATTAACAAAGGCTGGAATCCTTCTAGGCTCAACAACAACAGTTTAAGAAACACTGATCTGATTATGTCATTTCTTCATTGAAGCCCTTAAATCTCTTTCAGTTTATTAATGTCCTTGCCTTTCTCTGTATCTATGTAAACTGGTCTCATGTACTATAGTCTAATCATATTGGCTACTTTCAGCAAATAACAAATTCACACTATTTGTCTTATGCTCACTCTTAAGTAAATTTGTAATTGCCTGCCATGTGTAAATTATTGATCTTACAATGGCTCTCTATGTTTATTTCTCTTGGGGTGATCATAGTCCTGTGTTCAAATATATCTCCCACTTAACCAGGTATAACTTTGAACTAGTTACTTAACCTTTTTATACCTCAGTTTCTGATATGTGAAATGGGGATAAAATTAGTAGCACTCCTATCAAAGGGCTTTTTTGTGAGAATTAAATGGATTGATATATAAGTGCTTAGAACAGTGCCTGGTACTAGGGAAACATTTATATATAATAATAATTATTATTCTTAAAAGTTCATATGATGTGACTGTAGTGTATGTTAATTCTTTTATCATCTGTATTTTTAAAAACTGTTATCCTTTGTTAATATATATGCTGAGAATCACCAGCCTCTGATTAGATTCCATGTGTTTTTGCTTGCCATGTGATTTATCTCATAAAAAATAAAATATTTCTCCCTCCTAACTCAATCTTAGGGATGATAGAAATTTAAGAAACAAAGGCCTAATAAGTGGTGTGAAGTCACTGAGTAAAGAAGAATTGAGTGGAGAGTTATTAAACTTGTCTCTGAACACAGATGTATGTCATCAGCCTTGTATATCTAAACAACAGTTGAAAGCAGGTAGTATTCTTACTATGAACAATGAGAAATATATCTTACTTCGTGTACTAAGATGACTGATAACAGCTGGAATTAACAGTAAATTTTTATTTTGTACATTTAAAATAACATTGTTTAGAGTATTTGCTGGCACATAAATGGTAGAAATGAATGAAAAATTATAATGGTAGTCTAAAAGAAAACATAACATTTTTGCCTTCTACATATACTTTTACAAATTAATTTGAATTTTTGTGCGTACACTCACATACATTTTTATATATTTCTAATCACTGTGTGCATCCTATTTTTCACCTTACAGAGTATACCTTTTAAATTAATGGTTACAAGAAATACTCATTTGAGGCAGAGAGAAATTTTTAGCTCCTCTTTAAAATTAGTTCCACATTTATAAATTTCTATTAATATAGTAAAAACTCAATAATAGAGAAACTTAAAGGACTCCAATAATATTTTGTTTTTTAATTTAAATTAATACTTAAGAAAGCTAAAGGCAATACCATTGTTTTATCTCTTTTTCCACCAAAATAATCTGTTCTATAGCTTGGTATTTGGTGGAATATTATATTAAACCTGACATAATTAAAAAAATACATTCCATCATTTACCTCTGTGGGGAAAGTACTGAAGTCTCAAATAGCATATATATATATGCTTCATATATTGATATATACACATAAATTATTTGACTTTTTTGGTAATAACATTTGTTTTGTCATAATATTCAAAATAGTATCCAGAGGGAGTAATAGGATATTCTAGTTTATGGTTTTTCAAGGAAAGCATCCTTCGGTTTGCCCATTATATTACTGTCATTTTAAATCCTTGGTTTGTATTTGTAGAGATAAGCCACTTAATATTTTGAATTTTGCCATAAAGAAATTATAATTGTTTGCAGATGTCAAAATAGTAATGATAAAGAAATAATATCAGGTAAAATAATAAAAACTCATTTTAGAAGGGGAAGCCATAATGCAGAGATTTTGGTCTTTTCAAAACCAAAATGTGATTGGGAGAATATACTATTTGTAGAAAAAAACACATTTTGATCCATAGTTCTTGGTTTTCTGTTATAAACAGATATAAAGCATTCTTTTAATTTTCACTTTTTTTGAAAATAATAAAATTTAAATTTTGGTTAAAATATCACACACATTTCTCAAATTTCTATTTTAGCAAAAATACTTAGTTGTCTTTTATCAAAAAGATAATGCATTTGCTAATGTAATGTTGCATCTAAAACAACTGTACTGGAGATAAATTTCTAAACACTGTTTTAAAAATAAAATATTTGTTTTCTAGGTAGCTCAGATACTAATTCTGTACATTAAATGTGTATTATTTACAGCCAATTACCAATTATATTTGTAAACTATTTGCTACTAGTGTCCTAAATAAAGCCTATAACTATTTGTTTTAAAGAGGCAACATCTTTGGAGGAGAACTTTGAGGAAGAATCTACAAATTCTGGGCTACTCATTCAACTCGAAAGCATTGTATCTGATCTTGAAAAATCTCTTGGAACAGCTTTATCTTCAATATTAGAAACAGAAATGAAAATCGCTTTTGGAAACCTCTGGATGGAGGTGATTATTTCAGCTCTTAGTGGAAAATTTCTTTTTCATGGCTAAAGATTTGTTACCTTATTGTAAGAGACATTACTTGTATAAAATGTATAAACTTTGTTGTAATAATGTAGACCACAGTCTATTTTTTTCTTGAAGTTTTTGGAATAATTCTTTGGAAATTAAGTAATGGACATTTCCCAAAGATTAGGACTATACTTTATCATTCTTTCTTTAGTAAACAGATACTTATTGTGCATCTACTGTGTGTTAGACACATTGCCTCCCTGGGGCTTAAATTGAATTCAGGAAACCTTCTCACATATTTAGTTTACTTGAGTCAAAATGTCTAGGGAATTACCCTAGCAATATATATTCAGAAAAAGAAGTATATATTTTGGCTATGTCATGTAACTATGAGAATCAGAGTATAAATTTGATCATATTAGCAAAATATTTAGAATTTTCTTTAGATTCACATCCTTTCCACAGCCAATAAAACACATTTGGCAATAGTGGGTTTTTTAGCTTAATGTTTGCTATGCACGTGTATAGTTGGGAGAAACATTATTCTCCACTAATTGTAAATTGTATCTATTCCAGATATGCTTTGAGATTCTAATATTTGCCATTATGGCTTGATTATGTTATCAAGTGTTGAACCAAGGTGATAAAGAGTGAGTAGAAGATTCTAGGAAAGTTGCCATAAATTAGATTTCATAATGAGTCCAGGAAAATCATTGCATATGAGCGATTCAAAAAAAGATGTGCTGACATTTTGTAGTACTAAATGATTAATCTTCTTTATTAACGTGTTTTATAAGAGTGTAGCAAGTGTCAATTATAGTTGACAACTATTTTCTATATAGATTTTTCTCCTAGTTTTATGGAATTATTAGATTGATTTCCTCATAGAAATGACCATGTTGAAAAGTAGATTGATAACCTCTGTTGAATAAAACTATGCTGCTTCTGATCAGAGCTATGCTTTCTTTTTATACACATAGTTTCTGGAGCTTTAAGGATTAATAATAATACGAATTTTATAAAACCAATTTGTGATGGAATTAGCATTTTAAAATTATGATTTCCTTTTAATAAAACATATTTTAGTTTAAAAAGAAATTCACTAACTATATTTTGCCAAGAAGTATATGTAGGATTTCCTACATAGGTACTTTTTAATAGTAGAAATAATAAATCAATGATGCTGATTTTTTCTAGATTCTGTACTTGAAACCACCGTGGACTTTAATACATTTATTACAGTGCTTTAGAAAACACTGGTTGGCTGTATTTGGATTAGTTATGGAAAAGAGCTTGCTTGTAACTGTTGAGAGCCTATATGAAAATCTCTATAAAGGTATGAATTTTTTAATTTTATCTTTAGCAATGTTGTATTAAAATCAGACTAACAGATACATTCCATAGAATGTGAAGATGAATTAATAAAGATTTGTCAGTTAGTTCCTTAACCATTTATACCTCTGATTTCTTAAGGAGATTTGTGGCAGCTGGATGAGTGGATACAATTCCTAGTGCTTGTGGCTGAGAATGGTATCATTGTTGATGTTCCTGGATAGTGTGAACATATAATTTTTAATAATGTTTGAAAACTTTTTAAGCCCTGTTTTATAGTTTATTTAGGTATGCAAATAGATTTGTTTAGATTTTTTTCATTTCTTACCATGTTTAACATACCAACTTTGACCATATTTCATGTACTAATTTTGAAAAATAGTATATCAAGGTTTCTATCTGAAATATGTGGATAAAGAATAGGAAACCTTTGGCTTTGGTGCATAGTGAATTTTAGAATCAGATGAGACTACAGTCAAGCACTTAGTTGGTGATTTTTAAACTCTGTTACACAGAGCCTTCTTGAAGTCCCTCTGCAGTTGCCACAGATTGGAGGTGGAAAGGTTGATGGGGAGCCTTGTATTAGTGCACCTTTGACCCTCAACCCCAACTTCAGCCATGCAGTTTTCTTTTATTTGTTTATATATGGAGTTTCCATGTAGGATTAAAAAACGAAAGTTCATCTACTAAGAAGAAAAAGATGTGATAAAGCACTGATTTGATGTTATTAAAGTGTTTTATGATTAAAGAAACTAGTCTTGAGAGAGTAAATTATTTGTCCGAAGAGAACAGCTAGATTTGTCTTGCTATCCCTTTAAAAAGCAGAGTGTAACTGTTATTAGATTATTCAGGTGGTTCTTGATTTTTCTCAAACTCCTAACATGAAGTGATCTGTTTATTGTTTTATGTATTAATTATATTCTGCCCACCTTTAAAAAATAACTGTGAGTTTATGTGGTCCATTAAATAACAACCTGAGTATAAGAGGGTTTAAGTTAGGCTTACAGGCACAAGAGCCAGGTAATGAAGAATAAGAAAGGTAGTTTTACTATAAAACGTATGCAAACAATTATTGCAACACTGGAATGCAGATTTTAACACTAAGCTTCTTGGAAGCTAAGGCAAACCAGGAACATTCTATGGTGGGCATACTACTTTTCTCTTTCCCTTGAAATATAAACTGTTTGAAAATGTTTTATATCTTTAAATATTCCCCCAAGGGATTTGAAGTGCCTAGTCAGTGCCTTATGACTATATGTGGTAGATGGTGTGTGAATATCTGTTTTTGAAAGTTACCGAGTTTTAAAGTAAAGACACTTTCCAGGCATGAGTCTTTAACTATAGAAATTATTTATTAAGGGCATTATTATATAAGGGACGTGGAACAACATATTGGACTGACCTTCAAAGCAGTTTTGTAAGATGTATAGAAACATTTTTCATATCTTTTACTAGGGGCATAATATAGTTGATTCTATCAAAAGAAAAAGTCCTTAAACAATGTATGATCTTGGGCAAGCTTTGGTTTTAAACACGGGGTATCTGGTTGCCATTTTGCGTTTGTTTTTCCAGGGCTGGGCAGTGTTTTACGTACAGCTTAGAGGTAGGAGTCAGCAGCTCTAACTACTTATTTCTAACAAGGAGAGAAGTGAAGAAATGGTAACTGTTCGTTTTGCTGAAAACTCATTTTGGGGATCATTGTGTGTAAACTTTTATTGATTCTAGGTCTAGAAGAATCTGATGCCTAATGTTTACTGACGTGAAGAACGTGTTAATAGAATTATAAAAAAGCCTTCTGCTCTAAAATGATTTTGAATTAGAAAAATCAGTTTATGATTTTGCTCACTATCTTTTAAGAATATCCTCAGCTGTTGAATTATACGTATTTGTTTAATTTCAGTATACCAAACGTGTATCCTTAGATCAATTCATAGAAAACTGTGTGGAAAATGAGTAGTAGCTTTTTCTAACTTTGTGGTCATATTGACTTTAACCTAAATAATTATTGAATTTATATAAGCATTAAACTATGTCAACCATGTAAGATTTATTTTTACATTGAGTCTAGGCACTGGATTGATCATTGTTATCATACTTTTGCCCACAGTACAGAATTCTTGTAAGTTAGAAATAAAATGATTAATTCAAGTATGTAAGATCTACTGAACATAGACTACACTGGAGAAGTACCCTTAAAAGTTGTGCCCAATTTCTTCTCCTGAGGAGATTTCCAGGTTCATCAAACCTTCGTTTCATCTTCTGTGTAGCATCTCTCATCTCTTCTTTTCCCACAGGAATTTAAACTAGTTGTTGATTTTTAAAATAACTAAAAGTGTTTTGTAAAAGTTTTTGGTAAAGTGTTTAAAAATAACTAAAAGTGTTTTGTAAAGAAATAGACTGCTTGATAAAAGGGAAGCCAGAAGCTTGGCTATAACCATCACATTAGATTAGAATTTATGAATATTGTGTAATTAATTATGAAAGTAGACTCTTTATTTTCATTTAACCTTTCAATATTTCACAAGCAAATACTTATATAAGTGATAAAAAGAAACTGTTTTTTTAAACTCAATGCCAGTGAAAAACCATGCTGCTATTTCAGAATGTAACAATCTCTGAGCTGTGAATGTTAAAACAGGACAAGCACACTGTGGCATGCTTACTGTGAACACCTATGAACACTGTTATTTAGTGCTCTGTCTTAATAATGGAAATGATTTTTTTCTGCTCTGATTTCGGTGACATTAGAAAGTTACTTAACTTCGTTGTCACCACTTCTGATTTGAGAATTTAAAGTAACTTTAGTTCCTTAAGAGGAAACTGTTATGCCTTTAAATGATTACTCGTAGATTAACTAACTTTCCTAATTTATGGGGGAAGAAAATTCCACTGGATTCTCTTTCCCACAGCTCCTTGTTACTCAGATTGTTTGTTTTTTGCTAAGGTTGTATGGTGTCCAGAGAGAACACATTTTGAATAAATCTAGTATTACATTTCATGTACTGGAATTTGAAGATAAATCACTACATGATAACTGAGTTTGATTATGAAAGGTACTGCTTATAACTTAAGTGCTTATCACCAAAATGTGACTCTTATGATGTCTCCTGGTAATCTGTATGCAGACAACCTCAGTTTTGAAAATCTGTGGTTTAAAACTCATTTGTTTGGTAATTCTCTCTCTTTTCTGAAGAGTATAATGTTCTTTCACTTACTTTTACTTTGAAGTTGAGGGAAGTTCTGGAATTTGAATACAGTCTCGATATTCACAGGGAATTGGTTCCAGGATCCCTGAGGATACCAGAATTCTCAATGCCCAAGTCCCTTATATAACATGGTGTAGTGTTTGCATATAACCTACACACATTCTCCTGTATACTTTACATTAACTCTTGATTACTTATAATACCTAATACAATGTAAAGCTATGTAAATAGATGTCCGTGCACAGCAGATTCAGGTTTTGACTTTTGGATCTTGAGGCAATTTTTTTTCCCCAAATATTTTTGACCCATAGTTGATTGAATCTGTGCACGTGGAACTGGTGAATAGGGAGGACTGACTGTATGGAATGCCAGAATCAACTCCAAGAAATTTGTCTAAAACTAATTATTGCTTTTTACACCAGAGAGATAAATTAGGAGTGGCCTGTAGATGTAAATGTGTACGCCTCTTAAATTTCATAATTATTATTAATTAGATATTTTTCCAAAGACATTTTTGTATGTATATTCACTCATATATTTTTTCTTCATAATTTTCTGTTGCCAGCTAATAATGCAGTGGATATTAAAACAGTGAAATTCCTGCTTCAGGATTCTAAAAGTCTGCTACATGCTTTCAGTACAAGGTCAAATTATGATGGCATTCTTCCACAGGCCTTTGCTCAAGTAAACAAACTACTCCAAACATTTTCAGAGGTAAGATACCTTTGGAATGCCATTTAGAGTAGCTAATCACATACATTCTAAAAATGTGTTTAGTAGACAATAATAGGTAAAAAATTCTCTTATTCTAACATATTAAAGCATTAAGTAAATTTTAAGTGAATTGAATGGAGACTGAGCAATCCTTATTATAAGTCATAAAACACATCCTCTTACGGAAGCAGTGTCATGTCACAGCAGTTGTTAGAATTTTATATTATTTCATTTATGGATAAAGAAAACTGCATTGTTGCTTGAGTACTCATTTTTCAGTGCCCCTGACAGCATGCATTAAAATACTTTGGAAATTTTCTTAAACATGCATATGCTAAGCCCCTCTCAAACTTTACTGAATTGAATTTCTGGCAGTGGTAACCAGTAATTTTTCGTTTGTTTCGCTTTTTATTTTGAAATAATTTCAAGCTTACAAGAAATTTGCAAGAGTCGTTTAAAGAATTCTCATATATATCTTTTAACTTTTAGATTCCCCAGTGTTAACATTTTATCACATTTGTGTTATTGTTTTCCCTATTTATCTATCGAAGTCTTTTTTTCTGAACTATTTAAGAATATGTTGCAGATATTAGCCCCCTTTATCCCTAAATATTTCCATATATATTTCCTAAAGAATAAGGGTATCTTATATACCTAGTATAATTAATCAGGAAGTTAATATTGACATAATTATCTAACTGCAGACCTTACTTAGACTTTGCCAGTTGACCTGCCAGTTCTTCAACAAGGCTCCTCATGTGATTCTGTATGCCTAGCACAGATGCTTGTTTGCTTCTTTGAGTTTTGCCCCTTTGTGAGTTTGACCCTGGTAATACTCTTTCTACAGTCTTCTAATTTCAAATCTAGAAAATTCTGGGAGTTTTATATGCCAGAAATAGCCCAAAAAACTCTGCATCACAATTGCTGGATAAGATATTAATAGTACTTTCATCTAGTATAAATATTTTTTTTCTTTGAGTTATTGAACTGGCCTGTTTTTTCTCAATAATTGTTCCTGGTAACATAGGTCCCACTAGCTGTGAAGGAATGAAAGGATTAGATGACACTAAATTTAATCATAGTTGATGAGGAAAGAACTTACTTAAGAGAGTATCTCATGGAGTAAAAGCATCATCTTTTTTATAAACTAATGGGAAATACGTGCTTATTTTTGAGGAAAGACTTGATTTAAGTGGTGAATGACCTTTTGGTTTAAGATGACCAAAACATTGGTCGTCGTATTTTTCTATGGCAAGTGTGACTTTTAGAATTATTTGTAGGAAAGAATGGACCTGCAGCTTAAGTATTGTACTTGAATTATGTAGGAAAAAATATATTATTCTCTCCGCTCACAGAACTGAGCCCTACACCCCATCTTGGTGAAACAAACACAGTGAACAAGATGGAAAGTTCAGACCACTAACAGGCTTAGCAGTCTTTGAATTAGAATTATTGAGATTTTTAAAAATTAGGATTGATTGAGATAAAAATAATGGTGAATATCGAGTTTTAAGGTCGTTTTGTCAATTGGAATCCTGGAGATGGGCGTTACCATGATAATGTGATCTTAAAATTTAGCATTGTTTAATAGTATGCCTATTGTATGTTGCCCACTGGGTATTTTAAAATACTGAATTGTTATTTAGCACGTTATTTATTCTTGGGTCTTGATTTTCCAGTTGCCACATTAGCAAGCAATTCAAGAAGCCAAGTGGCAGAGAATCTAGTACTTTTCCCCCAACACTTAGTATTAGTGTGATTGCTTGAAACAACCTGTATTGTTTCCACAATTAGAGCTCTCAGGTGTTTTATTTTCATGGTTGAAACAATTCATTGTCTGTCAGCCAGGAACTTTGTTATTTAGCTTGCGCTTTTAAAATAGACTTTCAATAGGAGTTGTTTTGTAGAATGCTTTAGATTTGATATATGACCTGAATACTTAGTCATGTGTCACTAACTTGAGCAACAAAAAGAAATAGATTACTTCCAGGAATAGGGTATCTAAATATAGTAACTGTTTAAAAAAAAATCCCTCTAATGTTAATTTACCAAGTGTAGGAAATAAGGAAAAGAGGAATATTCCTTATTTTTTGCTTCTGAGAAACCAAAATGGAAAGTTAAGTAACATCGTTTTCCAGATCTTTATATAAATGGGGTGGGACAGGGAAAAGATACATTTTTTTTCTTTTATAAACGTTTTAACCACCAAAAAGCAAACAAACAAAAACAATCTTGCTCTTCCAGGATGGTAATGAGACGGGAAGCCCCATAAAAAGACCGGCAGCCCCATAAAAAGACCGGCAGGACCCCTAGACAGGGCCACTGCTCTCCTCCCAGCACCCTCTGGTTCCCTGGCCCAGAGATTCTATCTCACTTTTTGCCTCTAAAGCGGCTAACTTACACCTAGAATTCTATTGGTTCCCTGAGCTCATTTCTGATTGGTTATTTCCTTCACTCCTGATTGGTTATTACTCTCACTTCTAATTGGCCCACTTTCCTAACTTCTGATTGGTCCATTTATAATACTTCATTTGCATGGAGCTCACTCCTAATTGGTCTATTTCTACAAAGCTTGTTCCTGGTTTGTCAATTTCTTTTGTACTTTATTTGCATATGAGGTGCAAAGTGTAAAACTGGCAGCCTATAAAAGGCCTGTGTAAACCTACACACGGGGTCCAGAGTTTAAAAGCATTAACTCCTCTGGCCCGGCTGGTGTAATAAACCTGAGTTCTCCAACTCTCCAAGTGCTGCTTGGTTTCTCGCCCAAATCCAGGTTGCTGTCACAACTGAGCTATAACACCGAGCTGTAACACAATTTTCCACAACAGTAGAATAATTAAAATCGGACTTGTTAATAAATATAAGAATTGTGCGTGTGCGTCAGAATCCCCATTCTTACAAGTTATGCTTTAACCTCTGGTTGTTTAACCTCTCTGAGCCTTAATTCCTTCTGTTATAAAAAGAGTATGATAATCTCTGCCTCAGAATTGTCCTGAGAATTGAATAAGTTAATGTTTGTAGAGCACTGAGTCCCGAGCATGTAGTAAGCACTCTGTAGGGGTTTGATAAAGCAATCTGTTTGCATAGTTGTGTACACTACTATTTGAGAGCTGAGGGAAAGCATTATGTGGTGATTAAACAAATTTATCTTAGAACAAAGTACATCTTTCCATCCATGTATATTTATTAAGTTCATAATTAATGTAAACAGGCAGTTTTCTTCCTGCCTCAAAACATATAAAAAGGTAATTTTTACTTTTATAGTTGGAGAGAGATTACAACCCAGTTCATAACTGCTGAAGGTCAAATTCTGTCCATGCCTCTTACCATCTGTGTGACCTTGAGTTACCTACCCTTTCTTTGCCTCAGTTATAAAATATAGGTAATCATAGTATCTACTTCATAAAGTCACTGTGAGGATTAAATGAGCTAATAGATATAAAGTTCTTAGAAAATTCCTGAGCATAAAAGATGCCCAGTAAATATTAACTGTTGTTACAGTTCTGGAAATTTTCTTTTTTTAAAATTTGATAAGCATAAAACTAATAATCCACCAAGCTAATCTTTGAAATCATACTTTTATCAACAAAGGAAACCTAAAGAAATGGAGTGATCTTATTTAAGTTCACAAAGAAGTTATAGTAGAACCCAAACAAAAAAATGCAAGTTATTAAACTCATGGTTAAAACTTCTTTCGATTCTATCAGATTTTTTTTAACCTAAGTTAATATTTTCCCCCAAGGTGATTTTTTAAAAGGTCACTTGAATCAATAGTATTGCTCTTCTACCATGCTTAAAAATACAGTCAGATCTATTCCTCCATATACTTTTTGCAGGGGGAGGGGAGAATTAGGTTTATTTATTCATTTATTTCTAATTTTATTTATTTATTTATTTTTAATGGAAGTACTGGGAATTGAACCCAGGACCTCATGTGTGCTAAGCAGGTGCTCTACCACTGAGCTATACCCTCCCTCCAGATCTTCTTAAATGCTTTTAATTGGTCATGCTATTTACTGCAGTCTCCTTCCATCCACTACCAGCCTTCTTAAAAAAATGATCTATAACTGTTGTTTCCGTTTCTTTGCTCACTTATTCCTTAATCCTTTATAGGTAGGATTGTACCTCTTATACTCTATAATAAATAGATTAGAAATATTATTTGATATAAATGGTAAAGGGAAATATGTGGTTTTTTTAGCTCTGATGCTTTTCTGGGAATAGTCTGTACATAATCAAGGACAAAGAATAATCAGCACTTCCTGGAAAGCTAGAACATTTCTAAGCCACAATTGGCATTCTTTTTCTCTCACTTACTATTGAAGGATTAGCTGTGTATTATGTAATTCTTATTTCCTCAGGTCAAGGCAAAATTTAAACGAAGTCCTTCAGAAAATACACCGGGTAAAAATCAAGAAAATACTTCTTCGATGAAATCTAACAACCAAGAAATCGCCATTTTCTCAGGTTCTCCCCAGCCCAATAGGCATCAAGAAATCTGGTCTATCCTAGAGAATGTTTGGATTACAATATATCAAAACAGGTACTAAATTTCCAAGAATTTTTGAAGTTTAAGGGTTTTCCATCAGTACTGCTATTCGTTAAACAGTGTTTGAGTTGTGAGTTCAATGTTTAATGTATTAGGTTGTTTCATGAGGGCCTTTTGTCAAATTGGTACCTTAGAAACAGTGATGCTTAAATAGGGGTGAACATCAGAGAATTACGGGGAGAGGTTAAAAATATATGCCTGGGTTCTATTCTTAGAAATTCTGATTCAGTAGGACTGAAATGAAGCTGAGCTAAATCACCTTCTCTCCAGGTGATCCAGATGTGAAACTTTGATGATAATCATTGCCTGTATATTTCAAAACCAATGAACAGTCACCAAGATTGGCTAAACAAAGTAGCAGGATACAAAGCTGTAAGATTTAAAATAATTTAAGAAAATGTCAGTCTGGATTAAAGAAAATTCATGTAAGATTTTTAAAAAGATAAATACTTTTACTTAAAAGGAAGAAATACTTTTATTACTTTCATACACATAAACTATTGTGGTCTTGGTAAAATGAAAAGGTGGAGACCATTTGTGGGTAGGTCTTTAAGTAAGCTGCTACTAGAGTAACTTAAAAAAAATTTAAAAACAACTGATTTTAAAGTAGGTCAACATTCTCTCCCATTCTTTTCCCCAAGTCCATGGTCTTTATATAATTAAAATGTCAGTCATACTGTATACCTTATAGTGAGTTTTTTGGCTTAATTAAGAGCCCAGTGTGACTGTTGTTTTGGATTAAGATCATCTTTCTGTTCTAGTTGTTTACAAGAACTGCAAAGTCGTATTAGCAGTCCACTTAAACATTTCAGTCAGTCATCTGTTACAACAGTGTAGATTTGGGACCCATTTTTAGTCCTTGGCTACCATTAAAATTTTTTTTCAAACAAATAGACTGTCTGTTATACTAAATAACTGTCTGACATGTGAACAAAAGAAAACAATATTTAAAATTTTGTATTTCCACATAAAGCAAAAGTTTTGTTGTTTTTGTCCAGTCTTAACATATTTTTAATGTTTTGGTTTAACAGATATTCTTGTTAGCAGAAAATTACGTATACCAAACAGAGATGATCACTTTCAAAATAAAACAGTTTAAAACAATATCTAAGATATTTTAATCATCCTTTCATTTAGAAAACACTTGAGTACTTTACACACCTTGGAAGTGACTATAATATACATACATTTGTGTTGGATGTTACAGAGTTTTGGGTAATTTCTGGATAATAGACCTTACAGTACTTTAGTAAGTGAAAAATGGTTATTTGTTTGATTAGTACATAGTTGTTGAAGCCTACTTCATTGTCTCCCATGCCTGTTGTGTACCAGAGTCACTGTAGAGCTTTTCAACATCTTCATGCTTGAGCCTTCTGTGTAGAGATGCTCGTTTGAAGATCTGGTAGGCCCTGTGCAGAGTTTTCCATAAAAAACTACTACTAGAGCACTTACACACAACTGTAAATGCCATCTTCTTGCCCTGTGTTCTTATCATGGTTCAGTAATCATTTGTGAACTTAATAGCATACCAGGTAAGGTTGTTATGTCTTTTCTATTTATAAAGAATTTGGATAAGTGTTAGATACTACTAATGATTCAAGTTTGAAAAAAAAATCTTTTCCTGCTATTTCTCATTCAAGCTTCTGACACATTTTTTAAGAAACATATATTTTGAATTTGCAGTGGGAATTGTAATTAAACAAAATGTCTTACTTTTTGCTGTTACTTTTCTCTGACTCAGAATTTTATTAATAGTGTGAAGGCAAAAGAAAAAAAGAAATTGTTTTTGACAACTTACTGATAATTTTTAATAAAGTTTTTAATAAAATTTTTTTAACTCTTTGATTTACTGATTGATGGCTTTCCTAGAAGTTTGTTTCCTGTATTCATTCGTCCTCTGTCTCTCTGCCTCTCTCTCTCTCACATACACAGAGACAAAATGCATATATACCCAGAAAAAGAAGAAGTGCCCATGGATATCAGTAATGCTTGTCTCTGGTTGGTGGACTATAGGCATTATATAGTTCTTCTTTCTATATTTCTGTATTTCAAACTTTATGAGATGACTGGGCTTTAAATTTATTTTAAAAATTTAAGAGATTTTTTTAAATAAAAAAATTTATAGTTTTTATTCCTAAAATAATAAATGCACAAAACCAGTTTTGTTTTTTTTTTAAATGGCAGCACTGGAAATTGAACCCAAGACCTTGTACATGCTAAGCAGTGCTGGGACAACTCAATAGCTACATACACTGCAAAAGAATGCAATTGGACCCTGATCTTAAACTACATACAAAAATTAACTCCAATTGGATAAAATATCTAAATACAAGAGCTAAACTATAAAACTATTAGAAGAAAATATAGGAATAAGTCTTCATGACCTTGGGTTAGGCAGTGATATCATAGACAGTGATATCAAAAGATAAAATAGGAGCAGGGCTGTCTGGTGCCGCAGACTGAACTGCAGAGCTCAGCAAGAGATAAATTAGATAAGTTAGACTTCATAAAAATTAAAGCCTTTTTCTGCATCAAAAGACACCATCAAAGTCAAAAGAAAGCCTACAGAATGAGAGAAAATATTTGCAAATCATGTATCTAATAAGAGTCCAGTATCCAGAATCTACAGTGAATCTTTAGAACTCAACAATAAAAAGAAAGCCTGATTAAAAAATGGGCAGAGGATTTGAATAAGAAGTACAAATGGCCAACACGCACACAGAAAGGTGGTCAGTGTCGTTAGGGAAATGAAAATCAACCACAGTGAGATACTGCTTCATACTCACGAGGATGGCCATTGGGGGAAAAAAAGGAAAATAACAGATGTTGATGAGAATGTGGAGAAACTGGAACTTTCATACATTGCTAATAAGAATGTAAAATTGTGCAGTCACTGTGGAAAACATATCTGTGGTTCCTCAGTAAGTTAAACATATAATCACAATAGCACCCAGCAATTCCATTCTTAGAATGGAATTCTCAAAAGAATTAAACACAAGATTTCAAACAAAAACTTGTACATGAATGTTCATAGCAATGCTATTTACAGTAGCCAGAGTGGAAGCAATCCAATGTCTGTCAACAGAAGAATGGGTAAACAAATGTGGTGTATTCATAAAAAGAGTGGTAGATCCATAAAATGGAATATTATTTAGCCATAAAAAGGAATGAAATAGCAACACATGCAACATGGATGAATGTTGAAAACATGCTAAATGAAAGAAGCCAGACACAAAATGTCACATAGTATATGATTCCATTGATATGAAATATCCACAACATGCAAATCTATAGAGATAGAAGACAGATTAGTGGTTACCAAGAATTGGGGGGAAGGAGGAATGGTGAGTGACTGCTTAATGGATGCAAACAGCATTTCCTTTTGGAGTGATGAAAATGTTCTGCAACTAGATAGTGGTGATAGTTGCACACATTGTGAAAATACTAAATACCGCTGAACTGTACACTTTACACTGTACACTTTAAAATGGTTAAAATGGTGAATTTTATGTGTATTTTACCACTGTTATACAAAAATGTTCTGGAAAGTACTGTAAAGTAGGGGAGAAATTTCCCTTGAATGCTACTACCTAAAGGTAACCATAGTTAACTTTGTTAATATTATGTATACCTAGCTTTGTTTTTAGGCATATACAGTAGTTTTCTGGGGCTGCTATAACAAATTACCACAAGATAGGTGGTTTAAAGTAGCAGAAATTTATTCACTTACAGTTTTGGAGGCTAGAAACTGAAATCAAGTGTCTGTAGTGTTGGTTCTTTCAGGAGATTCTGAGGGAGAATCTATTCCATGGCTGTCTCCTAGCTGCTAGTAGTTGCCAGCCGTCTTTGCAGATGTATCAGGATCGGGTCTCTGCCTTTGTCTTCGTACAGGGTAGTGCCCACCCTAATCCAGTATGACCTCATTTTAAGCTAATTGCATCAGAAAAGACCCTATTTTAAATAAGGTCACATTCTGAGGTTGTGAGTGAACATGAATTTTTGGGGGACACTCTTCAACCAATACAGCATGTTCTGATTTTTTTTTATGTAGTCTTTATGTTATAGAAGTAAATTTTGTGTACCTTAATTTTTCTGTTTCATAGATGGTATAAGTATCATTTTAGTAGTTGTTTGGTATTTCATCAGGCGGCTAATTCACTATTTACTTAACACTTTTTATATTGTTGAACATTTAGGTGATTACAAGTTGTTGCCCAATTGTGAATAATAATTATTAATATGTGATAGATTTCAAAAATTGGAATTACCAGAGTAAAGTGTATGAACGTTTATAACTTCCAATTTCAGCAAACTCTTAATCTGATGTCCCATTTTTTTCTTCATCCTTAGGTACTGAAGTACTGTCAGTATTTATGTACTGACTTGAACATAGATTGGTAGTATCACTTTCTTTCTATCTCTTATGTTCTCTTAGAGTGAAACATTATTCACACAGCTTTTACAGTATTACTTTAGATTAGACCTGTATATTGACCTATATCCTTTGCATTAATGGTAGCCTGGACTTTGACAAGTCATTCTCTTTTATTTCTGACTTAAATAGATCAGCATTGTGAAAGATGAGTTATAAATAGTACCTTATTTAATACATTAGAAATGAAAATACTTGAATTACAGTGAATATGCATGTGTACCCATGAGTATCTTTCTTTTTTCTCTATTTTAGCATGGATGTGTTTCAAAGATTGGGCTCAAATTCAGCTCTGACATCTTCAAAATTAGCATCATTTGAAGAAGCATTTGTATATCTTCAGAAGTTAATGGCAGCTGTTAAGAATATTCTTGGAGGAATTCAGAGGTAAACACTAATTAATTTAAAGTTTCATTTATGTATTATTTTTCTCTTCTCAGCTTATCAGCTTTTTCAGAGTCTCTGAGAGTCTTCCAGCAAGTTTTGTAAGCTAATGGCGTTTAGGTTTAACTTTTCCTCCTCCCTTGCAAAGAATCCCTGTTTCTAGTTTGGACCACAAGAATGTTTCCAACTTTTCTCTTTCCAGAAAAAAAAATAGACCAGATTGTCTAAGCTCCATAAGGAACATTATTTTTTTATTGAATAACTGTAACTCTAAGAACAGTTCCTAGCACATAATGGGCACTCAGTAATTACTTGTTGAATAAGTACATGTTAAGGTAATTAACACTGCCCTTTAAAAACAAATATACCTTAGTATTTGTTAACATGATTGATTTCCTCCAATACAGACTCATAGTACAACAAACTGGAAAAGTTCAAGAAGCAGCATAGTCTTATGATGTTTTGAGACTCATACATATGTGATATTTTAAATGTTTGTGCAACGTATAGAAAACATAGTCCCAGAAAGATATAGAATGGACCATACCACCTTTATAGCATGAAGTCAGGTATTTCCTTTTGTGGCACCAAAGGAGAATACTAAACTTAATTTTCAGTTTTTAAAAATATATACCAAAATTGCTTGACCTGAATTAGACATGTAGCTTGCTAACAGAAGAATACTATTCTTTATAAATTAAAAAACAAAACTGAAACATTGATTTTTAGTATCTTCAAGTTATAAAAACTTGGATTTTCAAAACAATAGTATTTTTTGTTTGCATTTTCATTTCTCTTTAAGGGTTTTAGGAAACTTTGTCTCATTGTTAAGGCATAAAGCATTTGTACCTCTTTTTGGATCACTTGGCTAGATGATTCATAGAATAAAAAATTACCAAAGCTTTTTGCCACTCTTAAGTTACTAATGAATTGAAGATGTGGCAGATCCCAAGACAAATTAAATATCACATCTAAGTGCACTGTCTTTTTTATTTAAGGCAATATTAAACAAGAGTAGCTCTGTGAAGAATATTCAGGTCTGATTTTAGCTATGTAAAAGCTGTTGCGTATGCTAGGTTGCATACCAGCCAGCCTTGATACTGCCTTTTCTACGAAGGTAGGGGGTATCAATCTGTATTCAGTTACTCAACAAATGTTTATTGAGCACCAGCTACTCTTGGCTCATGGTAGGCTCTAAGGAATGAAAGATAAATAAGATACAATCTCTGACTCCACTTATAGGAATAGTGCAAACAGTCACATTGAAACAAATAATTGCAATAGACAGTTATTAATATTTGAATAGGAACATAGGCGGTGGAGGGAGAGGAGGTTTGGCAATAGATGAGGCTGATTTGAGGTTGGAGGGAAATGTCTTATAGGCCACTTAAAGCAGTTTCCCCTTTATCTTGTGGGCTAATATTTCACACATCCAGAGCCATTAATTATGCATCTTGACAGAAGTATTCCTGGTCTAAAAAGGTTTGGAGATAATGCATGCTATATTACCCACTTGGAAAATCACTATAAATCCACTAACATGTTAATGGGTTTTATAGACCTTCGCTGTAGAGAAACCTTTTTAATTTTCAGGGCTTTAAACATATTGATGCCTGGGACCCAACCCCAGAGATTCTGATGTAATTGGTCTGTGTGTGTGTCTGGCTATCAGGAGTTAAAAAAAATTTCTCCAGGTGATTCTAATGTGTAGACAAAGTTGAGAACCATTAGCCAGTGTGCTTAACCAGTGGTTCTCAGGGTGGTCACAGAAGCAGCATCATGGTCATCACCTGGAACTTGTTAAAAATGCAAATTATAGAATCCTGCCAGACCTACTGAATCAGAAATTCTGGGGGTGGGGCCCAGCAGTCTTGTCCTCCAGGAGATTCTATGCACCACAGGCCTAAGTGGTGCTGAGACCCAGTGGCCAATTAGAATCATCTGGGAGTTTAAAAAAAACAACCAAAAAAACGATGGCCAGGCACTGCCTTAAACCTGTGCAATCTGAATCTCTGGGAGTGGGACCTGGCTGGAAGCAGTTTTACAGACCCTGCTAGTGATTCTCATGTGGAGCCAGGATTGAGAAGGTACAGCATATGTCGCTCACATAAGCTGTGTCTAAAGAAAGAAATACTTGAATTTTAAGTCTGATCAGTTCTGTTAATTCTTTCCTCTAAGGACATAACACCTCTAGGAATAAGAAGATGTAGGTGGCTCTGCTACCTTTTAGCATGTGACCTGGGGCAAATTATCTTGAGCCTCAGTCTTTATCTGTGAAACAGGCATAGCAATGCCTTCCCAGAGCTTTTTGCAAAGTTACTGTGTTTTGAAAGTCAGCTGGTGGTATAACTAACCGAACCAGTGATTCTCTGCTTATTTGTTGGGGAACTTGCTAGAAATGTAGAGTTGTAGATCTTATCCCAGACTTCCTGAAATCACAGTATCTGTAGATGTTTTTTAGAGGAGGAAAGTTGTATTTTTAACAAGTTTTGCAGATTTATATGCAGTTGTTGAGGGACCACAGTTAAAGAAACTAATCCAGCCTCCTGTAATAAGTGTATGAGAGCCTCCTGAGCTACCAGTAGAGGGCATGATGAATAAAAGTTCTGTTTATTTGAGCGTTCCTTAATCACCAGGGAACTACTAACGCTGCAAAGTTTTTTCCCTTCGGACAATGGATATTTAAATCAAAATGTAATAGAAGTTAATAATTATATTGTTTTGTCAAGTGTATATGTGGCCTTAAAATCATTTAAGAAACAGAGTCATGTTAAATCAAGGTATGTTTAGTTAGAAAAGTTGGGTGGGCTAACTATGAGTGGACTTTTAAACACTGAAGAATATACTTCAACTTTGTAGTGACTGCAAATTCATTAGCATTTTTGGATGTTTGTTAAAATGGAATAGGTTCATTTGGTTTTGAGATACGTGTTCAGTGAATATACGTCAACTTTGTTTCTTTTTATCATAGCAGATCACTTAACGGTGTTACATTAGGAATTAGTCATAGATGACCTGTTAACCAGGTCTTCCAGTTAAAGAAGTGAATGAAAATGTGTTTTCTGAGCTAAGAGTTTGTGCTTCTAGTTCCGGGTTTATCCCGTTGTAGCTGACCTCGTACATGCCGTCTACCCTCTCTAAGCCACAAGTTTGTCTCCTTAGTAAGTGAGAATACTGATGCCTTCTTTAGATCATGTTTGTGAAAATATTTTTTAAACTGTCAAATATTTACAAATGTTAGTCTTTATTTTCTCCTTAAAGCTAATATGTTATATTTGAAACGTTTTAAAGTGTGTATTTCAATTTTAATAAGGCTCTAAACATGATTGTGATGAGATTGAAAATATTGGTGGAACACTTGTCTACACAGTTTTACAGTTGAGAGCAGAATATGTAATTTGTGTAAGCTGAAAAGGAGATGGGAATATTGCTGATTACTATGCCTTTTTGCACATTTTCTTCTCGGGTAGGAAAGTGAACTTAACTCATTTGCTGTTGGCTTAGAAATGGCTTCGCTCTTTCTCATCCTTCCCTTTATGTGTAAATATGATTAGTTTGAGCACTTTTTGTGGGAGGGTGGTAATTAGGTTTATTTATTGATTTATTTTTAGCGGACCTGCTGGGGATTGAACCTAGAACCTTGTGCGTGCTAAGCATGCACTCTCCGCCTTGAGCTGTGCCCTCCCCCCACTTTGAGCACTTTTGTGATTGATTTCCTTATCTAAACACTATTGAACCAGAGTCAGTACTCTCTCCATGTGGACAAAAGTGTTTTAAGATTTTTTTTTAGGTCAGTACTACCTAGTCTAATTTTATAATTCAGTGACTATATGTCTAGATTGATTAAGTTGCTCTCAAGATCACAAAAATCGTCTGCTTAGTATATAAAAATGACAAACCTTTGTTTGGAGTGAGTAATTAATTGGAGAGCCCCATGGCAAATTGTAAAGATAAGACAAATTTTACTTGCACGTTAATCAGAAACATTGTTAAAGATCTATGTGCTTAAAAGGCATCTCTACAGAGTTAACTGAACAGGTCATGTAATTCAGTTCTGAGGCATACTATAGATGTGTGCAGCTTCAACCTGAAATACTCAAAACAACAATGAAGTATGTTTTTGTGTCCATGAAGTAGATGATGAGCTGCCTGGTTTAGAAGCAGGGGAGAGGACGGGAGAGGGAGGGTAGGAATCGCAATCTGCCTAGATTTTATAATCATGTTTGTGTATTTCATCTTTATAAAATAAGGTTGAAATTTTTAAAAAGAAAAGAACCTGAAAATTGTAGCATTTGAATCCCCAAATATAACTAGATCATGAATAAGTGTGTTTATTTAATCACTTGGTCTAACATGTGAAACTTTGTATTTCTGTGTCAGTTTCATGAACTCTAGATTTCTAGCTCAAGTAGCCTTAGATGAAGTGGTTGAAATAATGAAAGTTTTCTCAGTTTCATGTTTTGAATCTTACGGGGGGCGGGGGGTGGAGAAAGGGAGAGGGAGTTACCATCCCTTATAAATAACTTGGCACATTTTGTACGGGAGGGAATTTTTTATGTGAAGAGGTATCTCTTAAGTTTAGGTGATTTTTTTTCTAGCTGTCATGCTTGGTTTGGTTGTTTTTAAATATGGAATAAGTGAAGTGCCAACTGTGCACTGGGCACGATCATATTCTGGATGAACATTCACTAGTGATCGCAGAATGTGATTTTGGAAAATGAGACTTGTGCTTGAGATTTAGGAAAGGAAGATGATTAATTTTTATCATCTTCAAATGCTTTAGTAATCTTCAACACTTTGGTAACCTCTGTTACATTCCTGTGGCTTTGGTTTGAAATACTTTATAGAGCTGTGTTTCTAAGACAGAATCATGAACTTTGGGATTTGTGTGTGTGTGTCATTTACATACACATTTTCTTATTAAGCCTCTAAAAAAGAATTTTCCTATTATTCTCTTACCCCATTTTAACATAAGAATAAGACATATACTGGTACAACCATAC